CAAATGTCATTATGATTCGCACACTGAAGTTATAAGTATTTGATAATATTATAATTTTTAAATCATGCTCACTTTGTTATGCTTCTCTGGGGTTTATAGTAGCCTGTGACAAGAAATTTTACATTTTAGAAAGCCACACGTATATTTTTACATCATCAAGGATTATGTGAATGGCCACACCACACTCTACCTCACTAAGAACTTTCCAGGCTTGAAAGGTTCAGTTCTCTCCCTCCCTACCCTGTGATGATTCAACTTTCCTTCCTTTTTCTCTTCTATTTATTAATTGGTTTTCTTTTTCAGAAAGCATGTGTTGAATACCTAATATGAACAGACACTAGGGAACCAGAAAAGGATTTTTCCTCCTTGAAAGTGGAACAAGAGTATTCAATTAGACAATGCCATATGTTCCCTTACAAGAGACATACCTCATTCAAGAAGAAGAACGTGTAATGAAAATGAAAGAATGGGAAATGTTACTCCATGGAATTGGAGCCCAAAAGCAAGCAGAAGTAGCTGTTTATTTTCAGGCACAGCAAACTTTAAGCCAAAATTTATCAGAAGAGACATAGTGGACTACAACACACTAGTAAAAAGAAAAATTCTACATGAAGAGATAACAACTACATGTAACACCAGTTGACACACCCAGTTTCCTAAAATAAAACCTACTCAACCTAAGAGGACAGGCACCAGTACAATAATAGGGGTCAAAAAGACAAAAACCAACAAATAATATTAAACCACACAACTAAAGAAATAGACTTAACAGATATCTACAGAGTGTTCATCCAGAAACAGAATACACACTATTCTCAGCAGCAGATGTATCTTTCTCCAAAATTGGGCATATTTTAGGCTATAAAGCATACTTAAGTAAATGCAGTAAAATTAAAAATCTCTTGCATACTATTAGACCACAGTGTAATGCAACTATAGATCAACAGCAAAACAATGCCCAGAAAGTACAGAAAAACATGATGATTGAATAATATATGATTGAATAATTAGTGGATCACAGAAAGAATCAGGAAGGAAATTACAAAGTTCCTAGAATAAAAAGAAAATGGAAGCACAACATACCAAAACCCGTGGAATACAGAAAGCAGTTCTAAAAACAAAGTTTATAGCTTTGAAACTATACATTAAAAGAATAGAGCAGTCTAAAATAACCTTAAGAGGTATTTAAATTTCCTAAATAAACAAAACCAATCTAAATCTAGAGCTAGCAGTAGAACAGAAATTACAAAGATCAAAGCAAAAATTAATAAAACTGAGGAAAAATACAAAGATCAATGAATCAGAGGTAGTTCTTTGAAAGGATAGATATTGATAAACATAGTCAAATTTAACAAAAAGGGGGAAGAGCTCATTTCAATGCAAGTAGATATAGAAAATGTGAAATTATAATAGATTTCACTGAAGTCCAAAGGAGAACCTAGAAGAAATGCAGAAAGTCCCAGAATCACATGAACTACCAAAATTAAACCAAGAAAATATGAAAACTCTGAAGACACTAACAATAGTAAATGAAAAAGAAACAATAATAAAAACTCTATCAACTAAGAAAAGTCAAGGACTGGATGGATTCATTGCATAATTCTACCAGAATTGCAAGTAATACCTAGCTCCAATTCTCAAACTCTTCCATGAAATTGAGAAGTAAGGAGCACTACTCAACTCAATCATGGAAGCAAATATTTCCCTGATACTAAAACTGAGAAAGGATTTTTTAAAAACAACAAGAAAATTTCAGGCCAATACCCTTAATGGACATAGTTGTGAAAACCCTCAACAAGATAACTGGCAAACAGAATGCAACAAATCACTAAAGAGATCATACATCATGACCAAGATGGCAAAATCTCAAGGATGCAAATATAGTTCAACATCCATTCATGATCAAAACCCTGAAGAAAATAGGTACAGAAGGACCTTATATCATCCTGTTAAAAGCCATTTATGACAAACCCTCTGCCATTTCTTCTAAAATCAGATATAAGACAAAGGTGCCCACTTTCACCATTCTTGTTCAATACTATATTAAAAACTTTAGCCAGAGCAATCAGACAAGAGAAAGAAACAAAACAGATACTATATACAGCAAAGGAAGAAGTCAAACTATCCTTATTTGCAGATATGATCCTTTTTATGGAAGAGCTAAAAGCACTCCACCAGAAAGAAGACTCAGAATTAAGAAACAAATTTAGCAAAGTAACAGGATAAAAAAATTACTGCATAAAAATTAATAGTATTCCTGTACATCAACAATGAACTCACCAAGAAAGTAATGGAAACAATCCTGTTTATGGTGGCATCAAAAAATGCCTAGTAATTAATCTTACAAAGGAAATAAAAGAACTTTATAAGATAAAGCATTATACTCTAACAAAGGAGATCAAAGAGGATATTGGAAAATGGAAATACATCTCCTGTTCCTGGATAGGTAGAACCAATATTGTTAAAATGGCCATATTACCAAAAATAATAAATAGATTTAATGCAATTCCAATCAAAATACTGGCAGCCTTCTTCACAGAACTAGAAAAAGCAATCCCAAAATTTAGATACAACCAGCAAAGAGCCAGAACAGCTAAAGCAATCCTGATCAACAAGTACAAAGCAGGAGGAATCACAATCCCAGATTTTAATGTATATTTCCAAGCTCCAGTGACAAAAACAGTATGTCACTGGCACAAAAAGAGACATTTCGGTCCATGAAACAGAACTGAAGATGCGGAAACAACGCCAGGCACATTCAGCCTTCCAATCTTTGATAAACAGGCCAAAAGCATATGCTGGAGAAAATACAGCCTCTCTAATAAATGATATTAATAAAATTGGTTGTGCACATGCAGAAGAATGAATCTAGAGGCATATCTCTCAACTTCTTTGACAATAAAATCAAAGTGGATCAAAAGAGAAATATCAGAAGAGAAATACTTTATCTTCTGGAAAATAAATTAAATTAGACTTTTGAAGATATAGGCATAAGCAAGGACTTTCTGAACAGAACCCAAATTGGACAAGAAATACCACCAACAAACAACAAATGCAATTATATCAAACCATAAAACTCCTGCATAGGAAGGGAAACAGTCAACAGAGTGATGAGATAACCTACAGCATGAGATGCCCACAAAATGAAGACCCAATAAAAATAGGCAATTAATATGAATAAATATTTCTCAAAAGAAGTACAAATGTTCAACATATTTGCCATTGAAGAAATGCAAGTCAGAACAACACAGTGATTCCATCTTACTCCAGAATGAATGGCTTTCACCAAGAACTCAAAGAACAACAAATGCTGGTGAGGTGGTGGTGGGAAAGGAACACTTTTACATTGTTGGTTGAATGTTGAATGTAAACTTTACAACCACTGTGGAAACCAGCAAGGAGTTTGTTCACAAAAACTAAAAATAGAAATTCCATTCAACCCAGCTATATCTTTCCTAGGTATCATCCCAAAAGAGTTCAAGACATCATGGTATAGTGATGCATCCATGCCCATGTTAATGGCAGCACAACTCACAATAGCTAAACCATGGAAGAGGCCTATATGCCCATCAACAGATGAATGAATTTGAAATGTGTAGTATATATACACAATGCAGTACTACTCCACCATATAAAAAAGATAAATGTATACAATATGTTTACATTTATTATTGGGTGCTTGTGCCTGTACATGATGTATCTTGGTTCTTATTTTTCCCTCATTATGTATTGTGTACCTAAAATGTACCAGTAAAAGAATTTAAGCAAAAAAAAGATAAATGTGACTTATTTGTATGAAAATAGATGTAATTTGAGACTATAATGCTAAGGGAAATAAATCAGACACAACAAGATTAAATATTGCATATCTCTTATATGAAAATTCCAAAGTATAAATAATTTAAAGTGCCAAATACGAGGTAAAGATCTATGATATGAAAAAGAAAGTTAGACTTTGTGGAAATGGAAAGGGGACCTAGAAATAGGGGAGACAGGAGCGGGGGGAAAGGGGAGGTAAAATGGATTAAAATGTGGTATGTATAAGTACCAATTATCCACAATTCATTATGTATCACAAACATGTACCAATGAGAAAAAATAAAAAGTGAATTTACCATAAAGAAATGAAAGAAAGTGAAGCAATTTTTATTTAACATATGTGACACTAAAATATCTAGTGTTTATTATGGTCAACAAATTCTTACAAATCAATAGAAAGACACAAGTCACTCAATATATGGGTTTTACTGTGTGTAAAAAGAAATCTAAATGACTTTCAAAGCTGTTAATGTATTCCAGTCCAAATAATAACTATAGAATAATAAACTATAATGAGATATAACTAAAGACCTTCATAAGAAAAAGTGACAAAAGGTCTTCTTAATTCTAGGTAGAAATGCAAATTGACAGAGAACTGTGTACTGTTTCGTTTTATGTATTTTATTATTTCCTTTATTGCAATGAAGGAGATATGGTAGAAGAAAACTTCATCTTCAGGACAGATCAATCACATGGAAGGTCAGAAAGTTTCCAAGCATGAGAAAGACTCGACACATTAGAGCTTATTTTGCAAATGGAGGAGGCCACCGGCCTGGGAGTGCAGGCAGGCTCCAGACCAGAGAGCTCACACTGACAGCCATCAGGGAAACAAGATCCTCAGTTATAAAACCATAAGAACTGAATCTCATCAAAACTGAAAGAGCTTGGAAGCAAATTCATTCCAGAATCCCCAGGAAGAAGCACGGGGGTTTTGGCACCATGGTTTTATTCTGCTAGACCTGGAATGGAGGAACCAGTAAAATCATGCACTGTGCAGACTTTGACAGAGAAACATTTAAATAGGAAATGAGTATTCTGTTAAGGTGCTAACTTTGTGGAATTTGTTATGCAGCCATTTAAAACTAATAGAGGCAGAAAATTGAATTACCAGCAAAGAAAATTTATTATTCAAGTTCAAAACTAAAATCACTACTTTTTATTTTTAAATATGAAAAACTCACTGTTCTCGATAAAGTAGATACTTCATCTGTTGTTGATTTTGTTTCCTTCAGTACTACCATCGCTGCCTCTTCACTCTCCTCAATATTCACTTTAACATCATCTATTTCTGAACAGTAGTGAGTATGCAGATTGTTTAGTTTGGCTACTTCTTTCCTAGGAGAAAAACACACCCGATTTCATCCATATTGAAAAATAAAAAGGTACTATATGTTTAAACTGGCTTCTGACAATTGTTTCATTCCATAGCAATTTCCAGTTCATAAAAAGTACCACTTAGATATTAAAAGTGAGAAAAAAAAATCACTAGTAGTATTTTTGTTTCCAAAGGAAAGGAATTAAGGAAAAATAATTTATAAATTATTTAAAACAACCTTCTGACTTGATTTTCAGGATGACACCTAAGAACCTTTGATTTAAAAGGTGAGTAACACAGCAACAGAAAGGTGAGGGTAGAGAAAAGAGGGAAAAATTAAAATATCAAGCAGTAACTATATCCTTCACTGTACACAAGGCAAATTCAGATTAGGATAACAAGGGCCAATTTAAGGAAAATAATTAATTTCCATTGAATTCTGTCTATCTGTAAGACTGTCACAAAGACCAACACTAATCTGTGAACCACATAACTATCTGATTTCTTAAGTAGAAAGCACATCCCAAATGAAAAATTTTCTTTAGAAAATTATACCAATTTAGACAAAATATCACAGTGAAAAAATGATAAAAATGACCATTTCATGGATCCCACACAGTAAAACATTTTAGATACTGTAAACAAAATAATAGACTAAGAGATTTGCTTGAAACTCATATATGAAAGACCAAATGTTTTATGTAATAAAATCTTACTAATCAATATTGTTAGAAAATCATTTTATTGACACAGATACAGAAAATATCTACTAGAAATTCACATGAAAATAAGTATCAATTCCATGGAAACATATGATGGAGGTATTGAATTGGCCCAGGTTCTCAGGTACCAACTATGATTACAGTCAGGTCAACTGTAGCTGAAAGACACAACCTAACCACAGAAATGCAAATTAAGAAATGAATGGGCAAAAAACAAGATTCTTCTTTATCCTTCCGTGTCTGAGAAGTATAGGTTTACCTATCAGAATTCTAGTAGCCAGGGAGGCAAGGAAAATTGAGGAGCCTTTGTATTCAAAATGTATAAGTAAGCTTGGGTAAGTTTCCGTTTTTGAAATGAACTTTTCTTCTCTCAATGACATCTGTAGTCCCTAGACCTGAGAATGAAGTATAGACTTTTGCCTGAGAGGTGAACAACTGCCTAATATCATATATTGAAAATCTGCTTCAGTTGTGCCTCTATCCCTATCTCCTTATGAAGTTTATCCCACCAATTCCTTAGCCTTTTGAGAATTTCTCAGAATAAAAATTTGTTACTATGCTTGCTTCCATTCATAATTTAAATTTTGTCATTCTTGTGTCTACTAAACAAGAATAAAATTAGAAGAATAAAAGGGGAAGGAATCCCCTGTCTTTTGTTAAGAATGATTATACAAGTACAGTAATCAAGAGAGGGTGGTATTGGCAGAGTAACAGACACATAGATCAATGAAACATAACAAAACGAATCTATACAAGTATGCATAAATGATTTTAACAAAGTTACAAAAGCAATTGTATTGGCAAAGGCAAAAATAAAAAAGAACTTCAAACTAAATCTCATGTATTATACACACATTAACTAAAAATTATCCATGAACTTAAATATAAAACTGTAGTATTTTTGGGAGAAAATCTTGTGACCTAATAGAGTACAAGAGGTCTTACATGTGACCCCATACACATAATTCATTAAGGAAAGAATTGATAAACTAAAGCTTATCAAAGTCCAAAACTTTTTCACTGCAAAATACCCTCATATTAGGTAAGATAATTTTTATAAAATATTTTCAAATACATATCTGATAAAAATCTTGAAAGTTAATAATCTAATAAGAAAATGGGGAAATACTTGAACAGCTATTTCACAAAAGAAATAATAAAAAATGACATGAAATGATGTGAAGTTAAATAGAAATTAAAACCATAATGAGATATCACCAGAAATCTTGTAGACTGGCTAAATTTTTTTCAAAAGTGATCTATTGTGGAGAAACTGCATGTTTCATACATTGCTGGTGGGTGTGCACAATGACAGAGTAACTCCAGAAAAGAGTTTGGCAGTTTCTCACAATTTTACATTTAAACTATATCTCAGAAATCACACTCTCAGGTATTTATCCCAGAGAAATAAAAATTTATACTCACACAAAAACTTGTCCATGAATATCTGTAGCAGTTTTACTCATAAGAGCAAAGAACTTGAAACAAAATAAATGCATTTCAGAGGGTAATTGATTAAATAGACTCCTGCCCATCCCAACAACGGAATTTTATTCAGTATTAAATAAAAATGAATCATGATGTACTCAACAAGCCAAATTGATCTATGGCATTGTATTTAACTTAAAAAAGGCAAAATTCAAAAGGTCACATGCTGTGTGAGTCCATCTATACTAACACTCTTAAAAGGACAAAACTGCAAAGATGGAGAAAGGATTAGTGGTTCTCAAGAGACAAAGAATGGGCAGCAAGTGCAAATAAAAGGAACATGAGGAACAAAACTATTTTGTAACTTGATTATATGTGTGGTTAACAACTGTAAATATTGCATAAAATTGCTTATAACCATGCACACATGTGCGCACACACACAAATGAGTGCATAAATCATGGTGAAATTGAATAAGGTCTAGGCTAATTTCATGTTTTTGATATCATACAATAGTTCTAATCTATAAGGTCTTCTCATTAGAAAAGCTTGGTGAAGGATATACAGGACAGGATAGACTCCTGTAAGTCTATACTTACTTGCAAATACAAAGGAAAAAAAGCTTAGACAAAATGGATCTGCATAATTATTAAGACTGATATAGAAAATATGAATGTATTTTAGCTATTAAAATATCAATCTGTAATTAAATAGCTCCATTCTCTCAAACACACACACAAATCGAGGCACCAAAGGTTTTGCTAGTGAAATAGTCGAAGCACAGAAGAAATTTTATATAAATTATCATTTTGTATAAACTATCTCAGAAAAACTATAAAGACTAACATGTAAAAAAAGCAAATATAACCATGAGAACAAAATGTGACAAAAAAGCAATTACATGACATTAGCTTTCACAATCATAGATTGGAAAAACCTAATCAAAAGACTAGATATTTAATGAGATATATCAAAAAGATATATATTTTGGCCAAGTGGATTTGCTTCAGAAATCTTGCTTTTCTTTAAAACATTTGAAAATCAACCTACTTCACCTCATTCAGAGAATAAAAGCAAAAAAGTACTACTATCTCAATAAATGTGACAAAATTAATAATATGCAAAGCACTCATGCATTCTAGTCAAGGCAATTTAAACAAAATTTTAAAATTTGGTAAATGTTAAATACATTTATCTCATCTAACATCATAATTAATGGTGAAATATTGAACTGTTTCTCATAGAGATAGAAAATAAAAGACATGCAGGCTCATTATTAGCACTTTTATTAAATATTTAATGAAGTATTGAGCCAGTGATATAAGAAAATAAGGATATAAATACTGAAGAGAAAAATACTATTGTCATTTTCACATAAGATTATGTAAAAAAATTCAATGATTTGGATATGCAAATTTGTAAGGCCATTGAATATATAAATACACAAAATCTGAGTTTCTATGTAGTAGTGTAATAGACCAGAAATGCCCCCAGATACCTACATAGTAATTCTTGTAACTTGTGAATGTTACCTTTACATGACAAAAAGAAAGGAAAGGGTCTTTGCAGACATTTAAAAACTTTGGGATAGAAAAATTATTTTGGATACATCAACTAAGATTTGGAGATGTTTTTGTAGAGATAGACCTGAAAATAATTTAACAAATATGGGCAAAAAATAGATATAGAATATTTTGTAAACTTTAGACAAAATTTTCTTTAAATTTCTAGAAAAATAACTGTCAGAAAAAATGATACATTTAACATTACTAAAATTAATACACTTTACATCAGACAAGAACATGATCGTAAGAATGAAAAGCCCAGACCCAGGTTGAAAAAGATACTTCTAACACATACATCTAAGAGAGAACATTTATTCCAAGTACATTCTTCTTTCAAGTCTAAAAGAAAAGAAATACATTAAAACAATGTATTTCTTCCTTGAAAATGGACATACATTTTCATGGCTTGTCATGCAAAGGACATCCAATTAGCCAATAAACCACATGAAGACGTTTGACATCACCACCTTTCTGGTAAATGCAACTTAGAGCATTAAAGAGAAACCACTCCCCAGCCAACTAAGTGCTGCAGTCAAGAGGACCTGGCACTGTGAAGTGCTGATGAGGCTATGGAGAAGCTGGAGCTGGCATGGATTACTGATTGAACTGTGAAACAGTCCAGATACTTTGGAAAGAAATTAAGCAGTTGCCTCTTAAGTAAAACATTTGTCTCTACTAAAACCCTAGGACAACCCTATTCTTAGTATACAGCCAGGAGAAATTAACACTTATTTCCAGACAAAAGGAAGGTTCAAGAACATTCATAGGCTTATTCATGAAAGTCACAAAAAGAAAATAATCCATGTCCACCAATATGAAAATAGATAAAAATTACAGTATATTTATACTGTAGAATACTTCACAGTAATGAATACATATACACTGATACATAGGAATAGGTGAGTGAATATAATAAACATAATACTGGATGAAAAGAGGACAGATGTCAAAATATATATGCTGTTCATTTCCTTTCCAGAACAGGAAAAACCAACCTGTGGCAATACAAATTGAATGCTTATTATCTTTTGGGGGTAAGGATAATACAGACAGGAAGGGAGAGTAAGACGAAGTTCCAGTGAGCAGGAACATCTCTGTATCTTAATCTATTTCATACTTACATATGAGTCTACATATTGTAAAATTTACCAACCTGTATGCTGAAATTAGTGCTCATGACATTTTTTATGTATGTGTGTTAAATCTCTCCAAATTAAAAATGGTGAAAGACAATTAGAGGTATATATAGAGAGAATTGTATTTAATAAACTAATTTGTGACTATTTTAATACTTTCAATAGAACTACTGAAAGATATACTTTGAGGAAAATATCCCCAAAATAAGAATTTACAGTTGTAATAAATAATGGTGAGTATAAGAATTAATGAAAATACATAAAAAATAAAATACATCAGAAACAAATGTAAAAAAATCTTTTAATCTATATGATATTTTATTTTACTAGTAAGCAAATAAATTCAAGTTAAATAATTAAACACTTTACAATTAATGTATAGATACATACTTTATGTTTAAAAATATCCCCTTTTTTAAAAATAGGGTCATCAATTTGGAGATAGTGCAGGTATACATTGTTGTCATATTACATTCCTAGACACTTTGCCAATATAAATGAAAAGCTTTAAAATTACACAAAAATACAGTGTTTTAGGAATTTACATAAATTTACCTACATAAAAGGAAATTTTAATTTTTAAAGAAACTTGATGACAAGATAGATATGGGTAATTTAAATTCTTTCTCTTCTTTTTATCTGAAGTTCTTTGAACAGTAAGATGCATTATGTTTTTAATTAAAATTTTATTTCTAAATTCTATAAATACCATTTGTGAAAAATTCTTTCCTGTGGGTCTCTAAGTTTCTTTCATCATTACGAATATCTTCCTCCATTTCTTCTTCATTTTCTTGAAACTGCAATTTGGCATTTTCACAGTCTTCTATAGTTTTTTCAAGTTCTTCATGAACTTTTCTGAAAACATCCATTACCTAGAAACAAAAAATATTTCTGGTCATATATCCAGTAAAATGTTAATTAAAAGAAAATCCTTTAATTTAGGGAATTTGTAATTTAGGAGAAAATTCTATGCATACATTTCTCCCATAGTTTGTCTACTACTTAGAGAAATACAGTTTCACGTCCTGATAGGGATCAGTGCTAGGCATATACTTGAATATCCAGATTAATATGTCCAAAATAAAATCATTATCTTTTCACATAATGCAAAACTGATTCTTTTTTTTTTACTGTAAAAATAATATTTTATTGTAGAAAAACATGAAAACAAAGCTGAACAAAGAAAATCACCTGTACTCCCTTTAACCAAGAACCACATACCATCACACTAAGTTAATGGTCCAAAATATTTAAATTTTACTGTTTGTATTAATTAGTAAACATGATAAACATTCTATTATCTCTCTCCATCCTCCCTTATATCTCCTCGTCTGTCTTCATACCTGCCCCATATCTCTTTTACATTGTAACCTCTTATATTACACACTACCCATTACTCAATTCATGGTCAATTTCATGAATATTGTGCACCACTTGAGAGACCAATAACATAAATATTACTGTGATGAAGACCCTAGAGAAAAGCTGCACAATCTATACATAGTCTGTACATCTTCAAGTAATTTCTTCAAATGTAGTGGAAAGGGAGAATATGTTGAATCAGAAAGTAAGAATTACTCTCTAGGAAAGGAGAATAACTTGTATTCTCATTAGCAGAACAGAGGAGAATCTATGTTCCAAAATCCTTTCCAACATTATAAACGATTTTTCTAAAAATAATTTTCAAAGTCACAATTGATAAAGGTTATCCAAGTAAATTTTACTGAAAGTTGATAATTTTTTATATAATAATTTTGGAATGATTGACAATTTCTATGATGATAAATCTACTTGTATTAGAATATATTTTGTCTACACTGTCTCTTTATGTTCTTCAATAAGTTTATTATTACAGCCTTATATGTGTCTACCTTTATAATATTTAATATATTTTAATGGCTATTTTTGGTAATATGAATTTTTCATTTACATTTTAAGCACTTATTATCACTACTGAGAATTACTATTTATATTCATTTTGGGAAGAGTATATTGGAGGATTTTGCTTCTATAAATACAGACTTATTTTTTGAAAATTCAACTACCTGGCGTTTTAGTTATAAAAATTTTTATTTCATCATTTAAAAATAACTATCTTTTCTATTCTATTCTATTGTTCACAGCATACAAAACCTCCAAATAAATGTTAAATCATATGTTAAATATATCTGATTTATTTCTACAATTCTTTGAAATGACTTTAATAATTAAATGATTAACATGAAAAATAGTGGATTTTTGAGGTAGTTCATTGTTTTAAAAATTTTTATTAATTATTTACATTTAATTTGTATACATTTAAGGTATACAATATAATGACATTCATCATTGGAAATTTGCACCTTTACATAACCCATCTTGGTTCTTCTTTTTTACCCATTCCCCTGCCCTCCTTTCAACCTCTCCACACCTCTCTATTTACAAAGACTTTGTTGCCATTTTTTTCTTATATCAATGCCATTCCCTTCTTTCTTTTCCCCTGCTCCTCCCATTTCCCCTTCCCATTTGCACCTTTCTTTCCTATTTCACATTATCTATTATACCTTTTAGTCCTTACTTACGCTTTCAATTCCTCACACTAGAGAAACTATTTGGTATTTACACAAGTGTGTCCTATTTATTTCACTTAAGAGTATCACCTCAATATGGATCCATTTAGCTATAAATGTCTCTAGTTTCTTGTTCTTTTTTTTTTTGGTACCGGGGATCAAACTTGAGTCCTTGAGCTTGCGCAGCAGGTGGCAAAACCACTGAGCTAAATCCCTGGGCCCTAGTTTCTTGTTCTTTATGGCTGGGTAATACTCCATTAAAAAAAAAAATCCACATTTTCTTTATCTAGTGTCCAGTTGATAGGCAATTGGGCTGTTTCTAAGTTTTAGCTATCACGAATTGTGCTGCTATGAACATGGGTGCACATATATCATTGTGATACGATTCTTTTAATTCTTTGGGGAAGATACCCAGCAGGGAAATAACTGGATCAAATGGGACTTCCAGTCCTAGTTCTTTGACATAACTCCATACTCATTTCCACAGTAGTTGTACCAGTCTATACTTCCACCAGCAGTGGAGTATGGTTCCTCTTTCCCCAGAACACTGCCAGCATTTGTTGTTAGTTGATTTCATGCTGGTAGCCATTCTTTCTGGGGTGAGGTGGAATCTCAGAGTTGTTTTCATTTTCATTTCTCTAATGACCAGTGATGGTGAACATTTTTTTTATATGTTTATTTGCTATTTCTACTTCCTTGTCTAAGAAATGTCTGTTCATTTCAGATGCCCATTTTTGGATTGGGTCTTTAAATGTGGGAGGTCTGAGTTTTTAAAGTTCTTTTATATATTCTAGATAGTAGACCTTTCTCTGAGGAAAAGCAGGTAAAAATATTTTCCCACATTGTGGGTTGTCTTTTCATACTGTTGGTGGTTTATCTTGCTGTGCAGAAGCTTTTTAGTAAGAAGAATCCCACTTGTTGATTGTTTGTGCTAGTTCACAGGCAACTGAGGTTTTTGCTCATAAAATCTTTTCCTACACCAATGTCTTCAAGAGTTCTTCCTAACCTCTCTTCCAGCTGCTTTAGTGTTTCTGTTTTAGTATTTAGATTTTTAATCCATTTTGATTTTAGTTTAGTGCATGGTGAGAGATATAGGTCTAGTTTTAATCTTTGGCAAGTTGAAACTCAATTTTTCCAGCACCATTTATTAAAGAAGCTATCTTTCCTCCAGTGAGGGTGTTTGGCTCCTTTATCGAAGATGATATGACTGAGTGTGTCTGCAGTTGTTTCTGCGTCTTCTAATCTGTTCCACTGGTCCTCAGGTCTGTTTCTTTGCCAGTACCATGCTGTTTTTATAACAGTAGCTTTGTAGTATAGTTTCAAGTTTGGGATTGTGATACCCCCTACCTTGTCTTTATTGCTTGTATTGCTTTTGCTATTCTAGGTCTCTTCTTGTTCCAAATGAATTTTTGGATTGTTTTCTCAAGGTCCCTGAAGTATGCTGCTGGGATTTCAATTGGGATTGCATTGACTCTATGTAGCAGTTTTGGAAGTATGGCCATTTTCACTATGTTGATTGTTCCTACCCAGGAGCAAGGGATGTCTTTCCATTTTCTGATATCCTCTTAAATCTCTTTTTCCAGAGTGCTAAGTTTTCAGAGTAGAGGTCTTTGATTTCTTTTGTTAGGTTAATTCCTAGGCATTTCAATTTTTTGGATGCTATTGTGAAAGGAATTTCTCTCTCAGTGAGTCTGTTGTTTGTGTAGAGGAAAGCTATTGATTTTTGTGTGTTGACCTTGTATCTAGCTACTTTACTGAATTTGGTTATTAAGTTTAGAAGACTTTTGGTGGAGTTCTTAGGGTCTTCTATATAGAGTATCATGTCATCTGA